GGATAATTAGATAGTTTAGCCTGTGCATCTGAGTTCTCCAGCTCAGATGTGGCATAGCACCCCAAACACTTATGTTTAGTATGCTCTGTTTTGGGATTTAATAATAGAATTGCCTTCCTATTTAAGCTTTAAAAGTTTTAAATTTTAGGGGTGTTACAACCATAGGCACTCATTTTAATAAATCCCTTATACTTAGCTTTAACCAAAGTACTCTGCTGACTTCTTCTTCACATATAACCAATAATTATGAGCCATTCAAATAAATCCCATATGATATGAACATGCACCAAGAGCTTTGTTTAACTTTAATCTATTTAAAATAAAATAAAATAAATTAGCCAACATAGGTTTTAATGTGTACTAACTTTTGTACACTTACAAAGGGGAAGAATAAAAGTTAATACATATGTGGCTATAGATCAAGTTAATAATACAATGGGTCTTGGATGGGTTCTTTGAGATGATTATGGGCTATTTCTAGCTAAGAAGAACATGAACATGCATGTCATTTATGATGTGAAGGAATCTGAAGCCCTTAGCATGAGGGAAGCTCTGAGTTGGCTCATTCATACCGGAATGGGTGAGGTTGACGTGGAAGCAGACTCTCAGATACTTTTTAAAGCTATTACCAGCTCTTCATTTTTTTTCTCCGTTTGGTTTATTAGTAGAGGATATTAAAGAATTAGCATCTTCTTTAAACGATGTTGAATTTCAGTTTGTTAAGCGATCTGCAAATCGCGCAGCCCACACTATTGCTCAGGAGGTTGTTTCTGAGTCAGGTTGCGAGGAGTTTGATACTCCACCCCCTTATCTTGTTTGGTGTCTTGCTGATTATTTAATAAATTAATTTTTATTATTAAAAAAATATCATGCATAAACCCAAACAATAACGACATCATAATTAGGAAAAAAAAAGAAAAAAATTACTAAATCAACCCTTCTTAAAAAACAACATAAAAATCAGAAAAAATCAGCACCACACATCAACCCCAAATTAAGGTCCAAGATTAGTCCACATTTCTCATGTGGAGAAGTGTTCTCATTTGATCTTTAATATATATAGGGTGGGCTCTAGTAAGAACCTTTGGTTAGGTTGGAACATATGAACTAATCCAAGCCTTTAAAATTTACTCAATTAATTGTCTAGATAAAGTAATCATTTATATGTACTATAGGGTGGGCTTCTAGTAAGAACCTTTGGTTAGGTAGGAACATAAGAACTAATCCAAGCCTTTAAAATTTATTCAATTAATGATCTAGATAAAGTAATCATTTATATGTAGATCTTTAACATAATTAATTAAAAAGAATACTAGTTTAATTCTTTTCAGGGGCCAATTATAAACTAATATTATATTTGGATTGATTCCAATATTTTAGGAAGATAAGGAAGGAGTCCAATTAGTCTGAAAGTCTGCGATCACCTAATCTGCCCAGGATCATCTATACGTTTGCTCAATCTAGGGCGTCTGTGTGCATCTGGAGACAGGCGAAGACAAGCGAAAATTTGAAGGGCAAGTGAAGACCATGAATGTAAGAATAATATTTCAATTCCTATACCTGTTCGTTTTTCAATTTTGGATTCAATTGAAGTCGTACATGCATAATGATGGGTTATAGCTTGGAATTAGATGAATTGTTCATTATCATACTGCTGTGTGAAAATGCATGAAAAGTACTGCTACTTTATGTGCACAAACTTGGGTTGGCAATTTTGATAAACACAGACTAATTCTGCAATAACAGTATGCAGTGCGACTCTAATCTGAAGTGCACAACTCGACTTGGACCGCCTTAGTTGTGTGCACACACAACTAAAGGTGAGTGCACACATGAAATCACGTTTACGGAGAGTTAATGCGTGATTTGACACCTCCTAATCTCTGTATACATGATTCCCGTGTGTGCACCTACGGGTTTATGAATGTATCATACACACCACAAAACCCCTGAGGGCGTGCAGTTTGCTTTAATGTTTGTGCCACATTGCATAATCATATACTGAGTAAATAAAGTTACGCACTGCGACTCTGATGTGCACAATCTGTACTGGTTTGCCTGGGTTGTGTGCACATACAACTCAAGGTAAGTGCACACAACAAATCACGTGTACGAGGAATAATTGTGTCCTTCAACACATCCCAATCTCCATAAGAGTGAGGATCGTGTGTGCACCTATGTGGTTATGAATGTGCGAGACAGGCTAGAGAAGCCCTGAGGGCGTGCACATCAGTTCTAATGTTTGTGCCACACTGCTTAATCATATACTAAGTAAATAATTTTACAACGCTTCACAGGTCATGACGGCTCAATAGGGAGTTCATCCGAGTGTTTGATAAATATTAATATCCATAAACACTAAGCTAAATGTATATCATATGTGTTTCTATTCAATTTATAGTAGGTTAATAATGTTCCTTTTATATGTTCATAAAAAAATAAAGCTTAATGTATATAAATAGTATACTACAAAAGCATCATGTTTAATAACATTTATCCTATATTATGTTCATAATATATTTGTTCTATATATCTAGAGACCTATTAATCATTTTCTTTTATACACATAGAAGTTTCATTACAACACCTCTAAAGTATCATACTAATTCGACAGTTTCATTTGATAATATACGCTCAATATGTGATACATGTTATTCAATTTCATTTTATACACACTATATTTTCATTACATCGATCACAACTAAAGTTTCATTTTAATTCAAATACAATTTCATTTGACAATATACATTCAATATGTGAGACCTTCTATTCAGTTTCATTTTATACACACTGTAAATTACAACACCACTAAAGTATCATTCTAATCAAGCTACATATTCATTCGACAATATGCACTAAATATGTGAGACCTACTATTCAATTTCATTTGATGGACATTGTAATTTCATTTTACCCTGAGCACCTCGTAGACACAAAATCAATTGAATGTAACAACTGTCGTTTCTTGTCATTAAAAGAAACGACGCCTTTCTGGACCATAGTCTACTGTATAATGATTGTCATATCATGACAAATTATATCATGCACCAAGCTAAGGTCCACATTGTATTGTGGACCCTAATTCAAAACGACATTCATATTATATACATGAAATTAACATATTAGGCAAAATTGTAATTTATGTCCCTTCATAACATGCCAATTATCAATGTTACTCCTGAATTATTAGTGGTGTAAATATTGTCTCTTAATTTTCAAAACGGTACATATATTGTCCCTCCCGTACCGTACGGGAGTAAAATTGAGGGGCAACATTTACACCACTATTAATTCAGGAGTGACATTAATAATTGACATATTATGGAAGAGTATAAATTACAATTTTTTTAATAATTACTTTTGATTAAATAATAGTCATAATAAATACTATTTAGAGTAAATTTCAATTTTGGTCCACTGACTATTGCACTTGTGTTAATTGCAAAACTTGACTATAAAAAATGTTAATTTAGTATCTTGACTACGCAATTTTTATCAATTTTGGTCACGCCGGCCAAATTACCGGCCAAATGTGACCGAAAATATTAATAGGTCAAATAATGAGGTTATTATAGTTATTATAGTCTGTGACTGAAAATCTATCTTCTTTCCAAAGCCAAGTGATGGGGTGAGAACCCCGGCCCAAGAAAAGTGGGCCCAAAGAGGAAGGATCAGAAAGGATGGGCTAACACGAAGCAGGCTTGGATAATGCATGGGCTGAGTCCAGGAGTCGGCCCAGGCCCAAGGCAAAGGCCCAGTTCAGGGCTACGAGGGACGGCCCAGTCTGAGTATAAGCCAGAGATGAGGAGTCGGTCCGAGCCCCAGCCCAGGGAAAGACTCGGTTCAAAGAGCCGTTGGGGGAGCCTTCAAAGAAGTCGAGACAAGGAGCCGTTGGGGCATTAAAGGCCGGACTCGGTCCGATGGTTACTAGCTGGAGAGAGCCGTTGGCAGACTCTGTAACGTCGCCCAACGGCTCGGTACATTGAAAGCAGCCTTGAAGTCGGCCATTATGGGCCTTCAAGTCAGTAGGGGAGGAGCCACTATAAAAGGGGCTCCTCCACCGTTGTAAGATATAGACTTTTCGAGAACCCGGAGAGGGAATACAAGAATTATTAGCATCTCATTTCACTAAACTTAGACTTTTTGTGAAAGGTGTATCCTCCAGCTGAAAGGTTGTGTTGGACCTCCTTGGGCCCGAAAACCCAAAAACCATCACTGGCGCCGTCTGTGGGGATCGAAACAAAGAGTCGCGTGCCTTCTGAGCAAAGCGAGTCCGAGAGAACATCGAGAAGAGCCCTAGTTGCGAGAAATCGAAAGGCTTTACCATGACAGGAAGCCAAGAACAGTTGAGTCAACACGATAATGGGCTAGGAGCCGACCTAAGAGATCAGTTGAATCGAAGAAACGCCCGAAGCCGGGAAAACGACGCGACACCGCCGCCAACACCACAGATAAATCCACAACCAGCCGCGGTGCAGTTCACCCCGGATCAGCTACAAGCGATTGGACGCGCTTTCACCGAGGCAAGTCGGGGAATACGGGAGCAATCCGCTACTCGGATACCGCAGCGAGACCCCCAACCGTCGCGAAGGCCAGACAATCGACAATCCACCCGCCGGGCCGAGAGTCAACCGGTCCAGTCTGTCCATTCTCGGTTGGGCCCGGGTGTTGAACGACGGTCGGCGAGAGAACGGCTGGGGCGAAGAGAACCCCTTCGCGCCCCGTTAGAAACTCACGGTCGACAGAGCGCGCGTGAGCGTAACCGTGTAAGGAAAGCCCGGACGGTGGCTCGCCGCTTAGAGCAGCCAACCCACGACCATGATTAACCTGTCGAGTCAGAGGTCGGCGAGAGCACGGAATCGACAGGAAACCGCACCCAAGAGACGGTCGAGGTGGCAAATTTAGCCTAGGAAATACGAAATCTAAAAGAACAGGTGGAAGGAAAAGCCAAGGCCCCTGGCCGATCGCTGCTGACCGCGTTACCCTTCTCGGCCGAGATCATGGCCTTCAAGATACCGGGCGACTTCAAGTTCCCGGAGCAAGCCACGTTCGACGGGTCGGGCGACCCACGAGAACATCTACTGAGTTACCAAGCTAAGATGCAAGTTTTTGGGGTACGGGACCCGGTCATGTGCCGCGCCTTCTTACCCACGCTCAAGGGGTCCGCGCAGAGATGGCTTGTGGCGCAACCCCCAGGGTCGATTCACAGTTTTGAGGAACTTGCAGATCGCTTCATGAGCCACTATGCCGCCAACATCAAGCCACAGAAGGACCTGACGCACTTAGGCGACATCCACCAGGACGAGGGTGAGTCTTTAAAAACCTATTTAGCCCGCTGGCAAAAGGAGATCCAGTCAATAGAGGAAGTGGAGGACCAAACGGCACTCACTTTCTTCATTGAATCTTTGCGGTCCGGCCAGCTGTACCGAGACCTAAGGGACAATCGCCCGGCAACGTACGCGGAAGCTATCCAGATGGCCAACAAGAGAGCCAACACGGAATAGGCCATGAAGCATAAACGACAGCGCGAGGTCGGCGGGTCCGCCAGCGGGAAAAGGACGCGGGCCGAGACAAAGGAAAGGCGTTCGGATGTGGCCCGGCGACCCGAAGTTAGGCGACCGTACGACCGCCCCGTCGTCCACGCCTATCGACCGGTTCCGGAGCGGCCGGTCCACGAAATACAAGCAGTCGCCTCACCTCCGCATCCACCGATCGACGACCGCGTAACAAATGAGGAGACTGGTAAGACTTCTAAGTACTGTCGTTATCATAAATCTTACACTCACAGCACGGAAGAATGCTTCTATCTAAAGAAGATCATGGAGGGGATCATCCAGCAAGGGACCCCGCCCCCCAACCAATAGAGGCGGAGGTCGGCCAGTCGAGGAGATGAGGGACTTGCCACCGACGCAGAGAACAGCCGAGGTAAGCAGCCGGCTCCCGAAGAGGACGAAACCCAATGGCGCCAGAAGCCGGTTATCAACATGATAGTCGGCGGGCCAGAGGGCGGCGACTCGGCAAACACCCGAAAAGCCTGGGCTCGGCAATTGTATGTCGGGACGGTTTATGGTCGCGAAGAGAGCTCCAAAAAGGTATGCCGAGAACCCATCGTGTTCACCGATAGGGACCTGCCAGCCGGAGAGACCCCGCATCGAGATGCGTTGGTCATCGCTATGGACATCAGTGGTGTAGTCGTTCGCCGAATCCTGGTTGACACCGGGAGTAGCGTCAATGTGCTATACCTGGAAACCTTCACCAAAATGGGGCTGATTCGAGAGCAGCTGAATCCTGTCAAAACCCCTCTCGCCGGCTTCACCGGGGACTCGGTGGAGGCGGAAGGGTCGATCACCCTTCCCGTGGAGATTGGCAGTTACCCGGATGTGCAAAAATTAAACATGAAGTTTATCGTGGTAAATCTGGCCTGCTCGCATAATGCCATACTCGGCCGCCCGGGTTTGGAAGACCTCGGAGCCTTGATCTCGATCGAACACCTGTGCTTGAAGTTTCGCACGCCGAACGGAATAGGAACAATACGTTGTGATCGCAAGGTCGCCCGCGACTGCTATTTACAAGCATGTAGAGGAATGGGCAAACGTGAGATGCAGGTCCACGAGATTACCGAGAGGCCCCCCAAGAAAACGGTGATACCTCGCCCCGAGCCGGCCGTCGAGCTAGAGGAAATCGAGATTGACCCAGCACAGCCTAGTAGGCGAGTGAGAATCGGGGTCGGCCTTCGTGAGAAACTAAGGGGGGAAATCGTGAGAGTGCTCCAGGAGCATCGATTGGTTTTCGCCTGGGGCCCGGAGGATATGCCCGGCGTGGATCGTTCGATTATATCGCACCGACTCGCCGTGGACCCGGAGCACCGACCGGTCGTACAGAAAAAACGATACCTGGCCAACGACCGGAGGGAGTTTGTGAAGAAAGAAGTTAGCACGCTGCTAGCGGCTGGGCACGTCCGTGAGGTTAAGTACCCGGAGTGGTTGGCAAACGTGGTCCTCGTACCCAAGCCCCCAGCGTGGCGAATGTGCGTAGATTACACCGATCTTAACAAGGCCTACCCGAAAGACCCGTTTCCTCTACCTCGGATCGACCAGTTAGTCGACGAAACGGCCGGGTCGGTGTTGCTCAGTTTTATGGACGCCTTCAGGGGGTACCACCAAATATTTATGCACCCGGCGGATGAGGAGAAGACCGCCTTCCTGACACCGGACGGAGTTTACTGTTACCAAGTCATGCCCTTCGGGCTTAAAAATGCCGGGGCTACGTACACCCGAATGGTCGCCCGGCTGTTCCAACACCTGCTGGGGAAATCAATGGCCGCGTACGTTGACTATATGCTTGTCAAGAGCCGGGAGGAGGACAAGCACGCGGAGGACCTGGCCGACTGCTTCAAGGTAATGATAAAGTACAACCTCCGGCTGAACCCCAAGAAGTGCGCGTTCGCTGTCCAAGGTGGCAAATTCTTGGGCTACATGGTCACCAAACGGGGTATTGAGCCTAATCCGGAGAAAGTACAGGCCATCATCGACATGCAGCCTCCTACCACCGTCAAGGACTTACAATGCTTGACTGGTCGGTTGGCCGCCCTTAGCCGCTTCCTGAGCAAATCGGCGGATAAGACTGTGCCTTTCTTCGAAGCCATGAAGAAGAAAGAGGGATTCGCTTGGACTGCCGAATGTCAGCAGTCGTTCGAGGAGTTGAAACAATATCTTTCAACGCCCCCAGTGCTGTCTACCCCCCAGGTGGGCGAGCCCTTATTCTTGTACCTCGCCGCCTCGGCCAAAGCGGTGAGTTCGGTATTGGTCCGAGAGGAGGACCGAGTCCAGCACTCGGTTTATTATGTAAGCCGCTCGCTGAAGGCTGCTGAGACGCGGTACACCGCTCTGGAAAAGATTGTGTATGCATTGGTAGTCACCGTGCTCAAGCGGGCACCTTATTTCCAAGCCCATACCGTCCGGGTTCTGACAGACCAGCCGCTCGGGAGCGTGCTACGAAACCCCTTGTCCTCCGGCCGACTGGTAAAGTGGGCCGTAGAGTTGACTCAGTATGGGATTGAGTACCAACCCCGACCCTCCATTAAAGGTCAAGCCTTGGCCGACTTCCTGGTCGAATGTACAGCAGGTGAGGAAGAAAAGGAACACGCCTCGGAGAGTTGCCCGGGCGAGTGGTGGGAAATGCATGCGGATGGAGCATCGAGTCGACAACACTGTGGAGGCGGTGTCATGCTCATCACTCCGGAAGGATTCCGGCTATATTACGCTCTGAGGTACTTGTTCTCTACATCAAATAACGAGGCCGAGTATGAAGCGGTATTGAACGGCCTCCGACTTGCCAAGGCCCTGGGAGTCGAGCGGCTACGAATCAAAACTAACTCCAGACTGGTAGTCGGGCAGATCTCAGGTACGTGTGAAACCAAGAATGCAAGGATGGTATTATACAAAGAGCGTGCAGCCGAGATGTTGAAGGAGTTTGAGGCCTACGAAATAGAGTACATATCCGAGCGGACAACGTGGAAGCCGACATATTGTCCAAAATTTCCCTGGAGGGGGTACCGGACCACCTGATAAAAATTTGCCAGAAGGAGGAGTTAAATCGGCCGAGTATTGAAGAGGCGCCGCTGGAAGTCCAGCAAGTAAACATCGAAGAATGGGACCGGGAGAAAAACCTCGAGATGTTTTAGATAGAGGACATCCGGCGATTCAAGGAGACGGGCGAGTTGCCAAGCGACCCAAGGGTCGCCGCTAGGGTTCGGCGAAAAGCCCCTTCCTTCCAGGTCGTCGACGGGCAGCTATATAAACGGTCGTTCGGAGGACCCTTGCTAAAGTGCTTGCTTAGACCTGAGGCCGAGAAAATTATAGACGAGGCCCACTGAGGCATCTGTGCCGCGCATCAAGGCGCCAACGCACTCGCCCGGAAGTTAGTCGTTCAAGGGTATTATTGGCCGACCATGATGCGAGACTGTATCGAGTGGATGTCCAAATGCGGCGTTTGTCAAGCATTTGCCAGGAAAGACACCCGGCTGGCCACCTTCTACACACCGGTCACCACTGCCATTCCTTTCGCCAAGTGGGGCATAGACCTGCTGGGGCCGTTGCCCGTCGCCCCGGGGGGTTTGAAATTTTGCGTCGTTGCTATCGACTACTTCACGAAATGGGTTGAGGCAGAACCACTGGCTACCATCACTGAGTACCAATGTCGACACTTTCTATGGAAAAGGGTAATCTGCCGCTTCGGCCTGCCCGAGCATATCGTCAGTGACAATGGGCGACAGTTTGACTGCCAGGCTTTCGCTGACTTCTGCCGCCGACACGATATCAAGCATACCAAGGTGTCGGTGGCCTACCCACAAGCCAATGGGCAGGTCGAGAATGTGAATCGAACGCTGGTAGATGGGATCCGGAAGAAGCTTGAAGACATCCGAGGAAATTGGGCGGACGAGCTTGATCGAGTCCTGTGGGCTTATCGCACTATCCAGCGGCGAGCAACCGGGGAGAGCCCGTTCTCGCTCGCATACGGCTTCGAGGCCAAGGTTCCAGTCGAAGTGGTCGAGCCCACTCACCGGGTTCGCACCTACTCAGATGCAGTGAATGAAGAGAATCTGCGGATCGAGAAAAATTTCCTAGAAGAAAGGAGGGAAGCCGCAAGTGCACGGATGGTTGAGTACCAGCAGGCGGTGAAAAGATATCGCGACCGTAGGACTCGCCCGCGAACCTTTCAGGTTGGCGACCTCGTGTTACGCGATCGACAAGCCAGTCAGCCCACCGAAGGAGGCAAGTTTGCGGTTAAGTGGGAGGGGCTATACCGTATCGCTGCGGTGGTCCGAGTCGGAACCTACAAGTTAGAGACTATGGAAGGCAAACACATAGATCGCATATGGAACGTCACCCATTTGAAAAGGTTCTATCAGTAGAAAAGGATAGGCCGTGTACAAGCTCAAGGGTTCCAAAAATCTAAATAAAGCACATGGGTTACAACTAACCGTCCCAGGAACTTGGCGAGAAAGAGTTAGGAAACAAGGGCCCAGACCCTTAGTCGTTTCCGAGAAAAAAGCCAAAAGGAGTCGCCTCGACTGAGGGACTTGGCGAGTATATATAGAAACAACGGGGCACTGACCCTAAACCGTTTCTGAGAAAGTAAAAGCCTAAAGAGTCGCCTCGACTGAGGGACTCGGCGAGAAAGTGTTGGGAAACAAGGGCCCAGACCCTTAGTCGTTTCCGAGAAAAAGCCAAAAGGAGTCGCCTCGACTAAGGGACTCGGCGAGTATATATAGAAACAACGGGGCACTGACCCTAAACCGTTTCTGAGAAAGTAAAAGCCTAAAGAGTCGCCTCGACTGAGGGACTCGGCGAGAAAGAGTTGGGAAACTAGGGCCCAGACCCTTAGTCGTTTCCGAGAAAAAGCCAAAAGGAGTCGCCTCGACTGAGGGACTCGGCGAGTATATATAGAAACAACGGGGCACTGACCCTAAACCATTTCTGAGAAAGTAAAAGCCTAAAGAGTCGCCTCGACTGAGGGACTCGGCGAGAAAGAGTTGGGAAACAAGGGCCCAGACCCTTAGTCATTTTCGAGAAAAAGCCAAAAGGAGTCGCCTCGACTGAGGGACTCGGCGAGTATATATAGAAACAACGGTGCACTGAACCTAAACCGTTTCTGAGAAAGAAAAAGCCTAAGGAGTCGCCTCGACTGAGGGACTCGGCGAAAAAGAGTTAGGAAACAAGGGCCCAGACCCTTAGTCGTTTCCGAGAAAAAGCCAAAAGGAGTCGCCTCGAATGAGGCACTCGGCGAGTATATATAGAAACAACGGGGCACTGACCCTAAACCGTTTCTGAGAAAGAAAAAGCCTAAGGAGTCCTCTCGACTGAGGGACTCGGCGAAAAAGAGTTAGGAAACAAGGGCCCAGACCCTTAGTCATTTCCGAGAAAAAGCCAAAAGGAGTCGCCTCGACTGAGGCACTCGGCGAGTATATATAGAAACAACGGGGCACTGACCCTAAACCGTTTCTGAGAAAGAAAAAGCCTAAGGAGTCGCCTCGACTGAGGGACTCGGCGAAAAAGAGTTAGGAAACAAGGGCCCAGACCCTTAGTCGTTTCTGAGAAAAAGCCAAAAGGAATCACCTCGACTGTGGGACTCGGCGAGTATATATAGAAACAACGGGGCACTAACCCTAAACCGTTTCTGAGAAAGAAAAAGCCTATGGAGTCGCCTCGTCTGAGGGACTCGGCGAGAAAGAGTTAGGAAACAAGGGCCCAGACCCTTAGTCGTTTCCGAGAAAAAGCCAAAAGGAGTCGTCTCGACTGAGGGACTCGGCGAGTATATATAGAAACAACAGGGCACTGACCCTATACCGTTTATGAGAAAGTAAAAGCCTAAAGAGTCGCCTCGACTGAGGGACTCGGCGAGAAAGAGTTGGGAAACAAGGGCCCAGACCCTTAGTCGTTTCCGAGAAAAAGCCAAAAGGAGTCGCCTCGACTGAGGGAATCGGCGAGTATGTATAGAAACAACGGGGCACTGACCCTAAACCGTTTCTGAGAAAGAAAAAGCCTAGGGAGTCGCCTCGACTGAGGGACTCGGCGAGAAAGAGTTAGGAAACAAGGGCCTAGACCCTTAGTCGTTTCCGAGAAAAAAGCCAAAAGGAGTCGCCTCGACTGAGGGACTCGGCGAGTATATATAGAAACAACGGGGCACTGACCCTAAACCGTTTCTGAGAAAGAAAAAGCCTAAGGAGTCACCTCGACTGAGGGACTCGGCGAAAAAGAGTTAGGAAACAAGGGCCCAGACCCTTAGTCGTTTCCGAGAAAAAGCCAAAAGGAGTCGCCTCGACTGAGGGACTCGGCGAGTATATATAGAAAAAACGGGGCACTGACCCTAAACAGTTTCTGAGAAAGAAAAAGCCTAAGGAGTCGCCTCGACTGAGGGACTCGGCGAGAAAGTGTTGGGAAACAAGGGCCCAGCCCCTTAGTCGTTTCCGAGAAAAGCCAAAAGGAGTCGCCTCGACTGAGGGACTCGGCGAGTATATATAGAAACAACGGGGCACTGACCCTAAACCGTTTCTGAGAAAGTAAAAGCCTAAAGAGTCGCCTCGACTGAGGGACTCGGCGAGAAAGAGTTGGGAAACAAGGGCCCAGACCCTTAGTCGTTTTCGAGAAAAAGTCAAAAGGAGTCGCCTCGACTGAGGGACTCGGCGAGTATATATAGAAACAACGGTGCACTGAACCTAAACCGTTTCTGAGAAAGAAAAAGCCTAAGGAGTCGCCTCGACTGAGGGACTCGGCGAAAAAGAGTTAGGAAACAAGGGCCCAGACCCTTAGTCGTTTCCGAGAAAAAGCCAAAAGGAGTCGCCTCGAATGAGGCACTCGGCGAGTATATATAGAAACAACGGGGCACTGACCCTAAACCGTTTCTGAGAAAGAAAAAGCCTAAGGAGTCCTCTCGACTGAGGGACTCGGCGAAAAAGAGTTAGGAAACAAGGGCCCAGACCCTTAGTCATTTCCGAGAAAAAGCCAAAAGGAGTCGCCTCGACTGAGGCACTCGGCGAGTATATATAGAAACAACGGGGCACTGACCCTAAACAGTTTCTGAGAAAGAAAAAGCCTAAGGAGTCGCCTCGACTGAGGGACTCGGCGAGAAAGTGTTGGGAAACAAGGGCCCAGACCCTTAGTCGTTTCCGAGAAAAAGCCAAAAGGAGTCGTCTCGACTGAGGGACTCGGCGAGTATATATAGAAACAACAGGGCACTGACCCTATACCGTTTATGAGAAAGTAAAAGCCTAAAGAGTCGCCTCGACTGAGGGACTCGGCGAGAAAGAGTTGGGAAACAAGGGCCCAGACCCTTAGTCGTTTCCGAGAAAAAGCCAAAAGGAGTCGCCTCGACTGAGGGAATCGGCGAGTATGTATAGAAACAACGGGGCACTGACCCTAAACCGTTTCTGAGAAAGAAAAAGCCTAGGGAGTCGCCTCGACTGAGGGACTCGGCGAGAAAGAGTTAGGAAACAAGGGCCTAGACCCTTAGTCGTTTCCGAGAAAAAAGCCAAAAGGAGTCGCCTCGACTGAGGGACTCGGCGAGTATATATAGAAACAACGGGGCACTGACCCTAAACCGTTTCTGAGAAAGAAAAAGCCTAAGGAGTCACCTCGACTGAGGGACTCGGCGAAAAAGAGTTAGGAAACAAGGGCCCAGACCCTTAGTCGTTTCCGAGAAAAAGCCAAAAGGAGTCGCCTCGACTGAGGGACTCGGCGAGTATATATAGAAAAAACGGGGCACTGACCCTAAACAGTTTCTGAGAAAGAAAAAGCCTAAGGAGTCGCCTCGACTGAGGGACTCGGCGAGAAAGTGTTGGGAAACAAGGGCCCAGCCCCTTAGTCGTTTCCGAGAAAAAGCCAAAAGGAGTCGCCTCGACTGAGGGACTCGGCGAGTATATATAGAAACAACGGGGCACTGACCCTAAACCGTTTCTGAGAAAGTAAAAGCCTAAAGAGTCGCCTCGACTGAGGGACTCGGCGAGAAAGAGTTGGGAAACAAGGGCCCAGACCCTTAGTCGTTTTCGAGAAAAAGTCAAAAGGAGTCG